AAAAACAAGCTAAAACCCTCAAAATAGTCTCTTAAACACTCTTTTCCTTGCCTTTTTGATACAAAAACAATGAAAAACCAGGAAGAAAGACAAAAGAAGGAAAGATTTACCGGATCCAATAGCAGAAAACGCGAAACTCCCTAAGAAAATGAGCAAAGTGGACGTTCTCTCTCCCCTAATGAACCTGGACTCAAAGAATGGCAAGAATGAGGAATCGCCGCCTTTAAAAACCCAAAACTGACAAGCGACAGGTGGCGCAATCCCACTGGCAACCAGAGGCCATAAACTTTTTATTTCCTGCCTCTTATTCTGCACTTGGCTTACACGGAGCGAGAGGCACGTGTGCCTTAACCGCTCCAGTTCGAGCCGGCTAGGTCAATCCCGATGAAACGCCTCGGTCGCATGGCGAGGATCTATGCCATCATGCTTGTGCCCCCTCAAAAGATCGACAACTACCTCGGTAAGCCCCGTCAAGGTCGCCGACACGCACCTAGTTGGCCGAATGAAGCCCAAAACATTGCGGGCTAGGTTAACGTCAGATAAATGCGTAGAAACGACCCCAACAACGAACACCTCGCCCCGATCAGATATCCTTCCTCGAGCTGAACCTTGCCGAGCCGAGTAGGCACGAACTTTGTAACCACAACCTCCAGGCCTTCCTCTTTGTTTGGCTCAACAATTCGAATCGAGCCAACTCATGCGCGTCCCACTGATGCCTTTGACGGCCAAGTGATCTGCTGAGGAGCCATGGCCTATCCGCGTTCCGTACGCATGTAATTGATTCTACTCTCTTAAGCTAGATACTCTTTATCTTAAAAGAGTGGGGGACAAACTGTATGAGCCAAAATTCATATTGGGTCTGACGAGGTCTAACCGTAACAGTGATAAATGATGGCCCAATCCCAATTGGACCCACGCTTAGAATACCTTGGGAAATGCTTGCTCTATGAGTTGGGCCATCTTCCAAGTTAAACTAAACTGGGTCCGACCCATTCGCCCGCAACAGTCCATAACCAGGATCATAATCCTAACCAAATTCCTCTTCTGACAAGATCCCATATCTCACCCAAAGAGGAAAGCCTTGACAGATAAAGGCAAAAATCCGATATCCTCCTGAAAAGAGAGTTCCCTACTAAGTAGACTTAGAGTCCTACTAGGATTCGGGCCGTTGCAGTTCACTATATAAACTGAGGCCAGTCCCCTCATTAGGGATTCAGAAAATACCACCCTTAAGCCCTGATTCTCATATCGCCAAACTCCTAATCTACTTCAATCCCCTCACATCGCCTGAACTCCCTCAGAGACGCAAGAAGGCACCCCATAGGTCCATCATGGTTGTTAGTGGCTCTCTTCACAAGATTCAGTCTTCAATCAATCGTAAATTTTAGCATTTACATTAAAAAACGCTAACAGGGCTAGCACTACTGTGGTACACCAACCTCCCGAACCACTCCATTGCCTCATTCGCCTAGCTCACGGATACCTTCATGGAACAATTCGCTAGCAGCAAAAAGTTAGAAAAGCTATCTGGTGACCTCTATCGGATCTGGCAGCACTGCAACGAGCCCCTGTGAGACTACGTGAGACACTTCAACTGCGAAAATGTCTCTATCCCATACTGCAACCAAGAGACCGTGGTCGATGCCTTCAAGAAAGACCTGCTCCGAGATGGGGAGCTGTACAAAGAGCTCACTAAGTTCAATTGCGCTACCATAGAGGATGTGCTGGCTCGTGCTTGGGTTGAGATAAGGTGGGAGGAAGATGAGGCTCATCGAGCTAGACATAGCGCCCATGAGGATCACTGCACTAACTTAAAAGCGCCCACGAGGATGGCTGCACTAACTTAAGAGGTCGTTGTACCACTCAATTGATATAGAGCTAGTATGATTTGTTTTCTCAAGCTTTTACATTAAAACTACATAAAAAAATCCTGTGTCATAAACCCAAATTGCAGGGAAACGATTTCACAACGAAGTAAAAGACAAAATTAACCAAGTCAGCTAAGCCTGAAATATAAAAAGAATAAGACTAAATAGCCCATTAAATTCTTCTAACGTCAAATTATCAATGATTTGGACTTTAGTGATAAAAATAAAATGGGTAATCTTTTTATAATAAGATAGTTATAAGAACAAAGCATTAGATACAATTAATGAAGGCTCGTCAACCACTAAATCTGAAGGCTTACTTTTGTTAATTAATATTATCTTCTCTTTCATGTCACATTTTTCTATTGCACCTGCTTAATTAAGTACTGTATTTCCAATTTGCCATCTATCTTCTTGTTTAAAATAATAGATTACCACAAAACTCAACACTATAACCCAACTCAATAATGGGCTCAACCCACAATTGCTTTTCTGGATCACCTCCAACTAATTTGTTCAAGATCAAGAAAAATAAAAACAAAGAAGTTATATTAATAAAATGGAAATTATATAATTAAATACTAAAACAATCAATAACTCATATTGATAATCCAACTTAATCAAACCAAGTCATTGCTTAAAAGTAATTTAAAATTGAAATAATAAATTTGGATATCAACCCACCGCTATTCCAGCTCTAGGACTAGCCCATCCTCTAATTCAACCATTACCAGTTTACATTACTAAAAATATATTATAAATAATTAAACATTTTTATGTATTTATTTAGATGAAGATATTATCTTATGTTTAGAAATATTTTTGATAATTTTTAAAAATTTTCAATGTCAATACTTTCCCAGGTTTCATAATATTATCATCTATTTCTTTTTTTGGAAATATGGTTGGCACTATAAATAAATGTTTAGCCAGAAGAAGCAAAGATGGAAGAAATACCCAGTACCCAGCGGCCACGTGATGTCACGGTGATTATATATATAAGTAATTTTCATAGTGAAACCAATCAATTGAGATTATATTCTCTTACGCCTCTGTCTTTTTGACTTGTTTGTTGCTTTTCCTTTTGCCTTTGATGCTGATGCTGATGCTGATGCACAAATAAATGTTACATTCATAACGTGCAAAGGTTGTCTCAAATTGCATACTTGATTAAATATTCTAAGTGCTTTTGGTTGGGTGTCCACAGCAATTGGGTAGGCAGAATTGGGCTTTACTTTAAAGACCCAAGTGAATATGTATTTGTTTTATAATGCAATGAAAATGATGCTTAAAACAATAAACATTGTTATATCTTAAGGACAAATAAGTAGAGCATTAATAAAATCAGATGGAAGTGTGTTTTTGTGCCTGGACCCATACACGTCACATGCCTATATTCGTAATCTCCGTTGTTATATTAAATTATAAACCACATTAAAATTTAATTTTTGTCACTATTGCATGTGACCTTTCTTTTTAAATCAAACATTTTCTCCCCACACTTTAACCTCATCAAACTACACTCAATATGACAGTTGGGCGGTTCTATTTTTATATATAATTATATAAACATAAATGTATTTATGAAACACAAAATTCACATCAGCCATATTTAACAATTTAGTTTTATTTTTTAAATAATTAAAAAATAAACATGCTTTTGCTTTTGCTTCTGCTTCTTGTTTGGTGGCTATTGCCTATTGTACTATTGTTTTAGACATCCGCAATTCTTTGCCGTACATGCTGATCTATAATCAGAAATATGTTGGTATTTATGTTGACTAACAAGTTATTAATAGTTTAAGCTGACTATATTTTTGGATTATATTTAAAATTAAAATTAAATGTATTGAATTATTTGCAGCCCATATATCACGTTGACGCGGAATTTGGCTTTCCTAATCAATAGCATTCATTATTCACTCGTTTTTCTAGTTGTCCAATTATTAAGAAACCAAAATTTAAGTCAAATGTAATTTAGTTTAGAAATCAATTCATCAAAATGAATACAATTACACTAATGGAAATAGTCATAAAAATAAAAAATAATTTAAGTAAAAAAGAATAAAATGAGTCTTGGAATTAATCAAACAAGGCATTTTCCCCAAAGATCCATCCAATTAATACAATACTGCACAAGAAAACATAGTGTCGGAATTTTGTTAAACTATGAATTGAAAATGGAGTAAATATAATCCTGAGATGATAGTTTGACGGTTAAGAATGTCTGTTCCTTTTGTTGATTTCTGGGTTTAAACTTTGGGACCACTTATCACAAATTTAATTTGTAACTTATTTAGAATATTAAATTTGTAGGGTGTTCAATTTATCTAAAAAGACTATAAGAGTTGTACCTAATTCATATTATTTCCCAAAAATTAAAAATTAAAAATAAATAAATAACTACTGTAATAAATATTAGGGGATATTCTTTCAGACATAACATATGATCCCATGGCTGGGACAAACGTATAAAATTTCCTCATTTATAGTTGGGTGGATAAGAATACAAGTTTGCTTCAAATTCGATGTGAAAAGGAAGACAATGCCTTGATGGATACTGTTGGAACTTACTCCAGATTTTTGTTGGTGTTGTATTATATCCTATTAATATATATATTTTCTTAATTATGATTTTTTTTAGATTAATTACCATAACTCCATAAGTCAAATGGCACATACACTTATATCTACATAAGAATTTCTTGAATTTTATTGAATTCTAAAAATTATTGTATTCATTTATGTCCATTTATTCTAGTTTTTTTTTTTTTTTTTTTTAACTCATGAAAGTATTTTACTTTAAATGGTAAATTAAAATAATTATATTGATTATAATACTCTCAATATAAAAAAAATGAAAAGAGCCTTTCGAAATTAATGTGTACATGATTTGATTTATAGATATAATATCATCGGAGAATTAAAAGAGTTGAGACAGAAAATAAATAAAAAAATTCTGTCACCAATTTATTTCCTTATATGATTCAAGTACTGTCCACTCTCGAGTCGAAAAAGAAAAAATCAGGATCAGCTAGGGCTAAAAGACAAGGGGTAATAAAGTAATTAAGTTCTTCTTCCTATTTTAAATTATTTAATATTTAAGAAGAATAGTAACGTGGTGGTGTAGCTGCTGTGAAAGAGGAGAGAAATGAAATTATAAAAAGGTAAATCAATAAGAAAAAAGAGATTATATCGCAAACTCTCTCAAACATCACTTTCTTTCTCTCCGTTTATTCGCTCCTTTTTTAGATCTGCGGTTTTCTCCCTTTTTGAAATTCCCCCATTCAATTTCTCTTTTTCCTTTTACATTCTTATCGATCTTTGCTTCTAGTTACCTAATTTTTTGGAACAAAAGATTTCTAATTTATTTTTTTAAAAACATTTAATTTAAATATGTATATGTAATGGGGTCTGGCGAAGGAGCGACTTCGTCTTCACAAGATATGGACATGTCGATCTCAGGCAAGTTATTCATTTCCTCCCTTTTTTTTCGAATTTCTTATTGATTTTGTATTATCTGTTTACAATATATAATTATTGTATTTAGTATAAGAAGTTTGATGACCTATGATGTAACTTAGGTGTGAAATTATTACGTCTTAGATATTTGGATCTGTTTTTTTCTCATTTTATTTATCTGTTGTACTTGGTTTATTTAGAGTTTTAGATATGGATTGGTGATAAAAGTGTTTGGTTTGAATTTGAATACCAAAAAAGCGTTGAATAAATGAACAGTTATAAACACAGGCGTTTGCGTAGAGGAGAAGAGGATAAGTTTAGAGCTGTGTTAATATTGACGGTCGATGGGACTTTGCCCTTTCTGTATACGTGTGGGGTGTTGCTAAAGTGTTAGTTTGTTACGTTTGCTTTATCTCTGTTTCTTCGGGTTGGTAAAGGATCATTCATATGTGCGGTTTTTTGTTTTCTGATTGAAGGTTTGGGGACAATGTATTGCAGTTATTCATTGACCTTTGTATCCGTTTGTAGTGATTTTTGAAAAAGAGATTGATTTTTTGTTGTCATCTTTTGGCTGATTTTTTTTTCTCTATTCTTGGTTTCTAGATCTCCATGAGCAGCATCAACAGGAGTTAGAAAACCTGACACTAACAACTCAACCCTTTAAAACGTTTAAGTATTTCATTTTGGCTGTTGTTCAGTATCTTAAGCGATCAATATTGTATCTGTTGGCAAAAGGAGGATGGCTTATGCTTCTAAGTACTGTGGTTGTAGCTGTTGGAGTGTTGCTTGTGACAGTTGATGGCTCTCATGAGAAGGTATTATGTTTTCTTTGTTATAGTTTTCAAAGAGACATTTTTCCCCTATTGTTGTAGATATGATGTTTTGATTGTTTGCCATTGTTCCATTTTATCATGATATACTATAACCTTTCCTGCAAGGCCTTCAAAGATGTATTGTTATGCGAAAATGAATTAACATGATATATTCACTAAGTTGTGTGACTTTTTGTCATTAGGTTATGCTGGTTAGTCTTAACTGTTTTTAATTGTCATAAGTTTATATCTTGTTACTATCCATGATGCAGATAATGTGTTTTCTGCAAACTTTTGTTTGAATTGTTTGCAATATTTAATGTTATTAACATTTATTGTTTTGATGCTGACCTCACTAACCTCGCAATGACATCATTTTACAGCATCTTGAGGAACTTTCTGAATATTTCCGGTTTGGATTGTGGTGGATTGCCCTAGGTGTTGCGTCTTCAATTGGTCTTGGTAAGAAACTACTTCCACTTTGAAGAAATATGTTCATAAGATTATAGGATTTGGGTGAAATGCTAGGTATAGAAAGGTTCTTGGTTGGGTTATTCATGTGACAGGGATATGTAGTTACGGTGCCTCTTTTCCTAACTACCTTCTTTTTCGTGGAAGTATATTCTATAAGAATATGGGTTAGCCCTAGTTGTTGCGTCTTCAATTGGTCTTTGTAAGAAACTACTTTCACTTAGCAGAAAAATGTTTATAAGATTATAGGATTTGGGTGAAATGCTAGGAATAGAAATGTTCTTGGTCGGGCTATTCACCTGACACAGATATGTAGTTATGGTGCCTGTTGTCCTAACTACCTTTTATTCACGGAAGTATATTCTACAAGATTGTGGATTCAGTTATGCTACACTTATAATTACTATTACTACTATATCCCAAGTGATGTTGCAATTGATTAAAAATATTTACATTATTTATCACTTCATCCTATTATTTACGATGCTGACAAATCAATAATACCTTTTTTTTTATGCTAACCATGGAAGCGTAGTAGTTATAGGATTTGGGGTGAGGAATTGAGAATTGAAAGGCTCTTGTAGGGTAAGAAGAAGCAGGTCCAATTTTTTAAGGCACCTATATGGTTTAAGCTTCAGAATTAGGATCCAGCATCTTTGGTGGAAGGTCAAGAATCAGACGACTTTTATGCTTGTGTATTTATTAATATTAGGCTTGTTGATGCACACACATTGGTATAGGGTGGTTTTAGGTATAGGGTGATTTGGACTATCCCTTTTACTAAGAGCACGTCGTCTAAATAAGCAATCAAATTTTAACATCTTTCAGAGAATTGCTGTGTGATTCTCCTAGGGAGGTGGCTGCGTAAAAGTTGACTAATAATCATGTCCTAGATGCTTCTATCAAGCCTGTTTTACTACTGTGAAATTAAATATAGTGATCAGAGATGTCAGTTAATGCACATGTCACAACTTACGTAAATCCTTATCAAAGCATGATTTACTCACATAAATCATCCTTTCCCTTTTTGTTATAATAAACTAATGCTGCATGGTTGTTTTGGATAGATACTGTATGCTTTGAAGATTATTAACTTCGCATTCTGCATGAATTTTGAGCTATTTGTGTGCCTACTGATCTAAGATATTCTGTCCGTAATGAACTTTGGTTAAAAGAATCTTATCTATTATTTGTTTTTGCTACTCTGATTGAATACCTGCGCTCCAACTAGGTTTTTCATATTGTTCCGGTAGCATCTTGATTGATGTACCTCGAGCTGATCTGCTTAGTATATATAGCCCTGAAATTGATGCAGTAGAATAAGGTGCTAAATATAGTTTTGCAGTCTATACGAATTAACTAGTAAATAGAACTCCCAAATCCTTGGGAGAATCTCAATTTTACAAGAAAGAATGTGGAATCCGTGATAAAGTAACACCTTAAGGGAGTTTTAATATTTATTGACTAAAACTTCTGGTGAACACCATTGATAATACAGTCTATTAATAGAAGATAAATTATATCCTACTCAGACTAGTTTATTTAATTAAATTATAAAATAAATGACTAAACCTACTTAAGTAAAACGTTATGGTCTTCATTTCCTTGTTAAAGTATCTGCTTTCTACAAAGCTGTAAAATATTTTTCTTTTTATTTATTTAATTTTTTTGTTAATTCCAGGTTCTGGTTTGCACACCTTTGTCCTTTATTTGGGCCCGCATATTGCGCTGTTCACAATAAAAGCAATGAAATGTGGTCGGGTTGACTTAAAAAGTGCTCCATATGATACAATACAGTTAAAAAGAGGCCCATCATGGCTTCTTAAGGATTGCAATGAATTTGGATCCCCATTATACGGGTCACAGGTTCCCCTTAGTAGCATATTGCCGCAGGTCCAGATTGAAGCTGTTCTGTGGGGCATTGGTACTGCACTTGGGGAGCTTCCTCCTTATTTTATCTCAAGGGCAGGTATGATCACCAAATTCTATGTTGATATTTTCATATGTAACTTTGATTTGACACTGAAATATCATAGAAGAGTTGGCAGAAAGCCAATAAGGACTAAGTTGGGAAGTATTAAAATGCTATTAAAATATTCCTGCCAACAAGTTTGCTTTTATATTTTATTATAATTTATTTATTTGGGGGGAATGGTTGTTAATTATGTGGTCTTTTGATTGGAGAGTATGCTTTTTTTTTTTCTTGGAATTGTATCCTGTGATTTGCCCAAGTGGGTACTTTGTTGACATTTGCCTTAGCTCTTTGCTCATGAATTTCTTGTTGTTATATAGTACTGCTCTGGATAATTTTGCTATGATTTTGGAAATCCATGAGAAGGTAGAATAGACTCACTTGGATACGCACTGTTGCTGGTCCATTTCATGCAACCTTTGTTCCACTTTGCAACTTTAATTCTTTGGATAATATTATTTAAGAAACATAGACTTGCTACTCCATTTTGATTTCCTGTGGCATCAATGGTTGAAGTTGTTAGTTTTCACCTTTGAGGATAAAGTAGGAGTGAGACTATATTCTAATTATTCATATTTTTCTTACAACATAACTTTTTTCTTTTCCAATTTATACAGCACGTATATCAGGTAGCAGATTGGATGCCATGGACGAATTGGATGATTCCCCAACAGAAAATGAAGGATTTTTCGCTGCTCAATTAAGAAAAGTCAAACGCTGGTTCTTCACACACTCTCAACACTTAAACTTCTTCACGATCTTAGTGCTTGCTTCAGTTAGTGGTTCTTTGTCTTCTTCTTCTTCTCTCTCTCTCTCTCTCTCTCTCTCTCTCTCTCTCTCTCTCTCTCTCTCTCTATGTCTATGTCTATGTATATATGAGAGTAATTCTCATGTCCAATCATCTGGAATTAACAGTTCAACCAGACCTTTAAGTTTTAGCCACTGAGTAAAACACTTTCTTTTTAGAGATACTAAAGAAGCCATGTGCTGTTAGTGTTGAAGGTAATGCGTTTCATTACAAAAGACTGCCTATCATTGAATTCTCTTAAAAAAGAAAAAATAATAAAACATTATTATTAATCAATACAAACAACCAGTGCTGAGACTTCGTATTTTCGGTCCCATCTCCATGGGGTTTTAAAGACTTTTTCACTCTGTCTTCTCCATTCTTTAGCCAAGTCTCTGTTTTAAATTTTGAGAGTTATATTACAGCCTCCTGTATTTAGCCTTTTCAAACCTTCAAGTTAACATCCAATATGATGCTCTTTCTTCATTATAGGGTTCTCTTTTATATATATATATAAGGTAGGATGAAAGAAGGATGCTAGAGTAAACCAAAAGTAAATTTTTAGTATACTTATTTCCAAAACATGTGAATTGTGATTAATCTACTCTTAGCAGCTTTTCAAATGCTGATTTTCTGAATAAAAGCATCAAACAGTTTCTTTTTATTTTACTTTTTCGAAGCTTGACTTAAAAGCAGACAATCCAATTTTTACGCTTTCGGTGGTGTCTCTAGAACAATGAGTTGAATAGGTTTCTGAGTATTAAAAGCAAAGAGAAAACCTTGATGTGTGAGTACTTCAGTATTAGTTTCAACTGTATGCAATTTGCAACTTAAGACAAAGGGTTTATTTTGTAGGTGCCAAATCCGCTCTTTGACCTTGCTGGCATCATGTGCGGACAATTTGGGATTCCATTTTGGAAGTTTTTTTTTGCTACATTGATTGGAAAGGCAATTATTAAAACTCACATACAGGTTAGCAATGTCTCCATTCTCAATACTCTTCATGTCTTGGACTGGTTTAGGTTGAGACCAAGTTTGGATTCTTTTAATCCATTTATTCTTGTTTTTAATTGTGCTACTGTTATATTTTCTCACGTTAGTTCTTATTGGTGTTGCACATGTTTGGCCTATGTGAATAAGTTTTAAGTGATTTTACTAGAATAAACTAAAATGGAAAATGGAAAGTTCTATACCCCTTTAAATTGGAATCTAAATACCTAGTTTAATCTTGTAGCTCTGACATTTGGCTTTTTGTTTTTTTCCTTTTCTGCAGACGGTTTTTATCATTTCTGTTTGTAATAACCAACTGCTGGACTGGCTCGAGAATGAGTTGATTTGGGTACTCAGCTTTGTGCCTGGTCTTGCTCCTGTCTTACCCAACCTCATTGCTAAAATACATACCATCAAAGCAAAGTATCTTAAACCTCAGGCCTCTTCGAGTACCCAGGTACTCCCCGAATCCATAAAAGCATTTGTCTAAATTTTTGCATGGTTTTGACAGTAGAGAGCCCCATTTTAGAAACACAGGCTTCTAATTTTCTGGACGGCGTTCCAATATAGACTATTGGCATAGTTACACTTGTGTTCATATATTTAATGTTTCTTAAATCCTTTCCAGGTGAACACATGGGATTTCTCATTTGCTTCAGTTTGGAATACTCTTGTGTGGCTTATGCTGATGAACTTCTTTGTGAAGATTGTGAATGCAACTGCTCAGAGATATCTGAAGAAAAAACAGGATAGAGAGCTAGCAGCATTAACTAACAATTCATAAGCGTTAACTCAATCGAATTAGGAGTGTTATCAAGTGGCTTGATATACAATTGTTCTCTCTTTTTCTTTTCTTATAAGTAGGTAAGGAGGATAATGTGATGGCTCCGACATCGCTCACAATTGTTCGCCCCTAAAAATCAGAATTTGCTTTGTATAGAAATAGGAACACGATTGAGGCTAAAGTCACAGATTTAATTATTCTGTGTCAGTGGAGAAGCACGGTCTAGTTAGGCTATTTTTTTTCTCATTGGAAAAGTACTGGTGAAATTAGAACACTATTGTCCTATTATTCTTTGCAATGCAAAGACAAATTATTAGCCAATCTCACTCCATTCAACATGTAAGGTTTCATATTTTAAACTTCTCCTTCTCATTTTCTGATTCCAGTGATTAATAACCAACCAGGGTGAAACTCAGCGAGTGCTCGTTTCTGGTTGACCGGTTTAACGGTTTGATTGGTGGGTCAAACCGATGTCAAAGGTTTGAAATCTAACAAAAACACCCTGAAAATCACATATAAGTTCCTGTAAGTTTAAAATATTGTAAAAACCCAAACACCACCGTCAGTGTTGACAACCCACGGCAAATAGGGCCTGTTTTTGGTGACAACAACACTCCCCTTCAGGCCTTCACTATGAGAACACTCTTCAGTCTTTGATCAAAACCTATCTTACCCGTCTTTCGTGCCTTACCATCGTTGGCAAAACACTGTTGTTGTTGCGATTTATTTTTGCGATTTTCAATCGATTCACTCACTCGAAATCACCTTCGTGCACCACTTTCCACTTATTGGCCCTTCCTCTTCAAAACCCCCAACATCTCAGCCTTTAATGTTTGTCAATCGTCATCTAATTTCTAGGGTTTTTAATGAATAGTAAAATTGGTAACCTGATCCCGATTGAATCGGTCAATGAACGGATCGGTTTTAAAACACGTATGATCTTTTCTAATAGCATATTCAAGGTTATGACAACTAGTGACAAAAATCTTGATAATGTTCATGGATTGTGGATGCATAATGGGCATCTTCCTTTTATGATTTATTAGATTTCAATCTCACCACCCAACATTTTTATGGTGAGATTAAAAGAATTGTCAATTACTAATACTTTGGAACTTTAATTATAATTAACTAAATTAATTGAATATTAGAAACTGCCCAGTCAGCACCCATGGGGCTTAGATTGTGGTTTGATTCTAATCTTTATCTCTATCAAACTGGGTGGTTGATTTGCTAGATGCAAAATAAGTTTCTGGCCCAAATAACTAATTAATTAATATATTAACTGAAAGAATCGTGTAAATACCCCACATGCAATTATTAAATAAAAATCTTAAACAATTTGGAAGTGAGAATATATAGTATCAATCTGGAATAATAAAAAAATTAAATTAATTAATTAAAGGGTTTGCTTTTACTAATATTAAATGATTCTTCTGACCATCAAACCCAATGATTATCCAAACTCTCATTTAAATAATCAATAACTGTAACCTACAAGAAATATTTGTCCCGCACTCCAAGCGTTATCAAATGATAATAAATTTAAAATAAAAAAATGTATTACTATTAATATTAATATTAATATGAGATAATGGTGGCCAGTTGCTAGGTGAATGATATGAGGGAGTTGTATTTGGTTTGATTACTTTGTCAGACGCACTTAATTATATAAATCAATTCCCATAAGTTTTTATAATTTGAGCTTAAAATAATAAAATTAAGAAAAATAACATATTATTAATGAGTTGGAGAGCAAGCATTGATACAATAAAATCACTATCATGGCTTCATGAGAATTATTTTATGATATGATGCCTGTGGCAGTGGACTAATTTTATTTGATTTAGCATTAATTAAATTAATTATGTGTAACAGTTAGTGCAGTTTCAGAGTGTAGGTATATTCTAATTAATCTAAGATTATAAAAATTATTATTAAAATATTATATTAGCTTTGTGAAGAATCTTCCAAATAGACTAATCAAATTTTATATTTTATTTATAAACAAAAGGGAAAGCCTGGGAGTGTGTAAAAGATAGATTATGCAATCAAAACTTGTTTATCCATTCATTATATATATAGTTTTGATTATAATAATTATAATTTCTTGTTTTCTTATCTTGTTGAATTATATAATAGAGGTCACAGATTTAGAATATATTTATTTTTTAGATAGAAGATCTTGAATGGACCGCATCATTATGACGTTTAAATACATTTTCTTTTGTATTTTAGTGTCGTCTGATAATCCTCTACACTTTAAATTGACAATAATTTCAGAATTCGTTGCCACCAGCAACAGCTTCATTGTTTACTATTAAAACATAAGTGCTTTACATTTAGATATGATTTGCTGACAAGCTAAATAATTAAGGAAATAAAAAAAAATATATAACATTCTGGATGATCAAGTGGTTCGTAGGAACTTTTAGTTGTATTATTCAAGAGGTCCCAAATTTGAGTCCCTCCTCGATTACTAATAGGAGTAGTTATGGGAGCTCTTACTCGGTCGTAGTTCTAAGTCTTCAGAGATTAGTTAAAGTGTGCATAAACAAATCCAGATACCCCTCATTATAAAAAAAAAAAAAAAAAAAATTATAAACAATTTTGGGATAATTATTTGATAGATAGTTTTAGAGAATTTTTATTTAAAAAAAAAAGTTGAAAAAACAAAAGTGAATTGAGGTGAGTTGTAGTATTTCGAGTTAATCCATACGAATTTCAATTAAACTCCAAAGTAAAAGAGAGGAATATCGAAAATGAAGAAGATTAAACAAATGAAAATGAATCCCTAGAAGTTACCCAATAAAAAATTAGCCATAATTTACATCTTAAAATACATAATAAAATCATGTTTTAATCATTTAAAAAGTCACCTGAGAGATGAAGAATATCTTACACATTACAAGAATACCCTTTTACAAATTACAACTACTGAAAGACAAGTATGTTCTTGTAGCCAATCAGACAAAGAAATGAAAGATGATATTTTGTGTTCTCTATCTTTCCATGTTTAAGAAGAAATACAGCCGCCCCATACTCCCGATGCCGACAAACCTAGCCTAACTGACAGGCCTGTCACGCTATCACATATCTCAATCTCAAATTATTTTTGGAAGTATTAAAAACTCTTAAATGAGAGATTTTTAATTTTTATAGACGATTTATTACAATTTTGAAAAGAAAAATTGGAGATTGTGGATCCCGCCACAGAAAATCTAGGCAAGAGATAGGGAGGATGACCCACAAAGGAATGGTGAGGCGGGCCACATTTGAATAACGCCTTCTCATTTCAGTGGATATTGTGCACGCGGGACATTGTGCAATTGCACTAAAAATTGATTTGAAAAATTACATTAAATATTAAATAATATTTGATTAATTAATTATGCATGTGCAATTGGGCTTTGTTTTACGGGTTTGTAGAGTTTTGACTTATTACAAGAGTCGCATTGTGAGGGTCCACTCTTAAATTGTTTGTTCGATATCATTTATTAATTTTAAATATTATTCAGTTATTCATATTTATGAATAGTTGTCTTAATGATAATTAAAGTTGAATTATTGTCTCATGTGTATATCAATGTTGCACACGGTTAATAAAACCCCAGTAGTTTTTACATATTTGTGTGACATGACTGTGACACAGGATAGTGACCCCACATGATTTTTATAGCTTTTTGAATATTCTTGTAGTGATAATTGACTAATGTAGAGATAGGTATTCATCTTCCTTTAACATTATTATCTATTCCAAATCCAACATAAATTTATTTTCATTTAAACCCTTCACGAAATAATAGTTCACATTATTCGTTGTTATAGATCTTTCTTGGTTATTGAAAGATGATAGAAGCCACTATAGTTTTCACATTCTTTCAGTCATTCCGTCTTTGAATTTTTCTGATTCTTAAGTCCCATCAGATATTGTATAACATAAGATAACAAATCATGGGTTGACCCAAGCCCAAGAAAACTATTCCATTCCTTTTAAGAGTCACTATCTTTCACCTCCCCGAGGTTTAATAAGATGTTAGTAACACCCTTAAGGTATGAGAGATCATCAATAACCTCCCCTTGAATTTGGAAAAATCATCATTATCTCCCTTTAATCGTGAAAATAAGTGTTCAAACTAACATGATCCGAAAGTAAAGGTAAACGACTTTTCCCATAGAAGGTTGCCCTAAAGACAATTGTACCAAAAAATTTGAAAACAATAATTACCCACCAACAATTAAGATATTTTAGACAATTTTCCACCCTACCATTAAGATTTGTTAGTAAAATCGTTTAAAGATGATAGGATTGTATTTTCCATGCAACAAAAATTGTCAAAAGAAATGGTGGCCAACGGTAGGGAAAATAGCCCAAAAAACCCAACAATCAACAAATAATTCGGCCAAGTACGATTCTAGCTTCCCCGACCTCCATTGACAAAAACCCCCAAATTCCCAAGCCTCTCTCTCCATGTCTCCGAGGGGAGATGGGAGGTTGGGTTTCAAAGAGGGGATGGTAGAGATTCGAATGGTAGATTTTCGATGTGAATATCAACAGAATCCGGCCTCAAATATGGGTAGTTACGAGGAAGAATGGTGGCCGGATTTTGGTGATTAATGGTGGCACCTTGTCGATATTAGGTGGGTTTCAGTGAGGGAGGGCCAGAAGGGTGGATGAAGGTGGTTTTGGATGGAAAAATGGTAGGAAAAGTGGCCAAAACGCCTGTGGCAATGCTTGCTAACGTGCACCACTGAGATAAAGAAGAAGATTGGAAGAGTTAGGGTTTTTTTGTTTATATATAGGGGGTAAAATGATATAATTACCCTTTGACTGTTACTTGGAATTATCAAGTTAATAGACAAAATTAACGGTTGGTGTGCAATTGTCGTTTTCAAATTTTTTGGATACGAAATTGTCTTTAGGGCAAATGTTAGGTGCGGCTAAAGATAAATGACCGATTTTATGAAATGTGAAGAGAGATAATGATGATTTCTAATACCTATAGGGTCTTCCTTTAATTATGGTAGCTTTATGAATATATTCAACTAAACATTGATGGAATTAGGGAAGTTACAATAGTGATAAACTAAAAGATAAAATTCTGTATACTTTAAAAACAAAAAAAACATTACTTTATAGTTTATAGCAAAAATTGACCTAGCATGAAACAGAAAAGCAAACTGATTTGATACAGTAAAGTAGTTGAAAATAAGACATAAATGGGCTCCATTCAGGTTTGTATAAGATTTTATATAACTAAATTAGGTAAAGTTGGGTCCTCATACTGTATGACCTTAATGAGTAGGGTTTCAGTTGAAGATTTCATACCACTTTTTTGAATTAATTAATTTTTAATTTTTTACTTTAACATTATATTTTTTTGGATAATTTATTTCATTCTAGTTTTGGTCAATTACAAGTTAAGATATGTTGGGTTATAAAGACATTGGCATCCAAGTCAGCTTGTGTTTTTATATTTTGATGAGATTGTTTTCACTTAAACTAATTAACAACATGGACCCTCACCCGTATACACCATCTTTTTAATTTACTTTCATATAATTTATTACTTACATATATTAATAAGATACGTGGTTTAGATTTGAGACGTACACTTAAATATTGGATTATGTAAGAAATTTGGTTTAACGATCTGTTGATCTATATACTTTAGTATTATCTTTTGTTAAGTATCAAATACCCCAATAATTTTCGGAAAGTGTTAAAAAGCCTTTAGAAAATATCAAAAAGACTTCTACAGATATTAAAAGGGAACCAACTAATTATAATATTTTCTTTAAATCGTTGTAACGGTTGAGACTTATTCATCTAATATAAACCTTAATTATAATAAGGGAATGAATATTGCGAAATTTGAAGCAGTTGGATTAGGGAATGGGAATGGGAATGGAAATGATAGAGTTGATGAAAGAGGAGCATGAAGAATTGAAGACAGAGAAATGTGGAGACTCTGGAAAAGGGGACAGTGGCTGAATGGGGAATGGGGAAGGGGCCCAACTCTCCATTAAGTATTTGCATCACCTAATGAGTAATGGCTGTTGCTGTTGCCGTTGCCGTTGCCCACATTTTTCCTAAGTATTTTTTTTTTATTTAATATAATTTTGCCATTTCCGTAACACTAATAATTTCCTGCTTTGATGTGCTGTCCTGACAAACAAATTATTTAAGGCTAAAAGAAAAAAACACCTATTCCTTGGATTTCAATTGAGTAATATTACATCCAGATCTATTCTCATAAACTTTTTCTCACAATCTCAATGTGATAACTTACAATTAGTCAATCGTAATTTATCAAATATGATTCATGTAAAACCTATTACGAGTTGACCAATTATGAATTAACACATCGAGATTGTGAGAAAAAATTTGTACGAAGAGGTTCATGGGTGTAACATTTTTTATTATAATTTATGCCCACATAAAAGCTACTTCTTTGAGTTGAAGTTTTTGACTTTTTTTCTTCTTTTCTTTTTACATCCACTATTATTGCTTACATTTCATAATTAAATAAATTTTAATATATGAGTTAGAATATTTTTTTTTTTAATTGATAGAATAAACTATTAGTGAGTAGAGTAACAAATATTAGAGGAACTAAGATGACTGAACTAGGGGTGATCAATTCCGGATACTCTGTATTTTTTGAAAGAACTAAAATTGATTAGTTCCCAAGATTTGGAATCGGAATCGAAATAGACCCTAAGAACTTTTGATTTCAGTTTCGGTTTTGGTTTCGGTTCCTGATTCTAGCATTATAAGAATCGGACCTGAGAATTTTTGGTTCTAATTTTCTAGAACCAGAGTTGGATGCTAATGAGGCGATTCCGATTGTACCTTTTACCCATGCTCACACTTAGTCAGGACACAAATTTTGCACGTGATAAATAGAGATGTTAACGTGAAATAAAAGTAAAAGCATAAAGAAATAAAAAATAGAAATGATTCGAAAGTGATGCTAAATAACTTATTAACAAGGAAAGATAAAGACAAAAGACGGTGTGATAACGTAATCCTTCAATATTCAAGTTGTGGCATTGTCATTTTATAATATAATTAGTTATAGGGTGATGGAGTCCTTTTATAGTCCCCTTTTTTTTAAATAAAAAGAAAAGAAAAAAGTTTTTGTCTTTGTTGATGTTGTCAAAAGAAGAACAATCAAATGAAAATCTGTAACTGAGAACCCTCCAAATATTCTGATTACAAGTCCTTATCCTATTGTTTCACTATGCTTAGATCCTGTTTCCTTTTGAAAATTATTAGACCCCAATAGAAGAAACCCATATTCCTTTTTTTTTTTTTCTTTATGCCTTCCCTTAATTTTACTATTTTCGAACATGGAATTGACGCTTGTACATTTCAGTCACCGACCAACTGAGTGTTACAATATACCATTCCTTCACATCATTTCGATATAATGTTGATTTATATGAAGAATCATTTAACTAAATTATTCACTGGAACAACTAAACCTAAAACAGTGAAGAACACACAAAACAAAGAAAAAAGGACACGTGTCACGTATGAAGGGCAGAGATGCTTAAAAAGTAATTTATACAATTAGAAGCAAGCTGACACAACACGTCACTTTACTACTTTCAAATATAGACATATATAAGAGTTGTGCAAAAACGAACCGTCTTGAGTTAGGTTAGGACACAGCTAGCTGTTCTTCAAACGGGGACCACCATAAGGGTAACTATGGAACTTAAAAGGACAACATCATGAATTTTAATATAAAAACAAATAAATAATAGATAAAGTTATGATATCTTAAAAATAGACATGAGCCACGTGTAAGATACTGACATAAAAAGAGATGCGCCCTTTTCAACAACCTACTTTTGTCAAGGAGATAGACAATTTACACACTAGTAAGTGTGGGCTCTCATGCTCATGTCCCACGCCACACTCGAGCAAGCCTCAAATTTAAAAGCATCTTCCTTTTGGTTAATTTCTTAATTCAATAAACAAATCGAATCAGAACATGGATCATTAGATTCACCAACAAACAAGGTACTGAAGATAGGGACATCAAAAGATTAAATTAAAAAAATTTTGAGGGCTAATCTTATATGTGCCAGACATATACATACATATACACCCTCACTGCATATATATGTCAAAAGATAAACTCTTTTTGTTTTTTTAACTAAACTCTATCTGGAAAATAAAAATCCCAAGATAAAGAAGAGAAGATTTCAAGAAAGAAGAAGAAGAAAAAAACAAAAGAACCTCCCATCACACCCCCCAAAAGAAGGAAAGGGAATCGTTTGTTTTATCTTTTTCCCACTTTCCCTCTTTTCCTTGTACAAAACATTTTATCAAAAAACTATTCTCCTCCATTATTCTCTAATCTTCTCCCACCATCAAACCAATCAAAATTATAATTAGGCTTCAATATCAATCTTGTCAGATTATAAACACAAGTGTACATAGCTCAATACACATTGCAAAGCACATTCCACAGAGAGCACTCCCCCCCAACTGTGTTTCAATTTCTGTTGTTGCAATCAAATCCAAATTTGGGTCTTGGATAGTGCTTCATCCTTTGATCGCATCTTCATTTCTTCTCAGACTACCAGAAGGCATGCAAATAGCAACTATTCTCCGGGAAAGAAATCCCTGTCCCCCTCAAAAGTTTGTTTCCGCAATCTATAACTCTTCTTACTAGATGCTACGTTTTTCTTTTCCCTATAAGGTGGGTTTGTAATGTAAAGGCACCAAGGGACGTTTCTACTCACCCGCGGGTTGTTTCTGCTCTGCTGGTTTCACTTGCACAGCTGTGGAAACAGCATGAACATACGGAAAACCAGGAGGAAAAGACTGATGTGGCTTCCCAGAGGCCTGTGCATTAGCAAAATTGGCAGCATGTATAAAACCCTGTGATGCTAAGGCACCACCACCTTTCATATTGGTAGCAGCAGCAACAGCCTTGGCAGGATCAGAAGTGTTGGTGTTAGAATGAGTAACTGGCGGGCACAGAGATAGCATCCCAGTTGAGGAAGTCCCTGAAGAGCCAGGCAGCTGCTGTTGGTCACGGTGGTGTCTTACTGTGAAAAACCCACTGGCTGCTGAGGCAGATGAAGTTGTACTCGCTACATGTTGAGGTTGCGCTTGCATATAAGCATTAGAGAATAACATTTGGGCTTGCTGAATTGCATGCTTTGGTATTTGCTGTTGCTGCTGCTGCTGTTGTGACATTTGAGGCTTAACTCCAGTCCCTGAAGAAGTGATATTGGGGTTTCCAAGTATTGATGGAACAGGAGATGACTTCCTGCTAGGCATAGACGGTGAATTCTTGGCCTGCTGAGATGATAATGAGGAAGCTTGGCCACTTTTGTTACCCGTGGAAGCTGCAGCATTAGTCCTTGGGCTTCCACCAGCACTAGTCTTGGAAATAGAAGAAGTTGTTGGCGAACCAACTACCATTGGAGGAGATGTGGACTGGTTATTACCAGACGGTGGCTGCCCGTGTGTTGCTGATGATGATTTGGGGTTAGCCGCAAATGATATTTGTGTGTGGCTTTGCTGGGTTCTGCCTTGCTGTTGAGGAAGGTTTTTGAGCGATGATGTGGTTGATGGAGCAAGAGATTGTGAACTAACTTGAGACGCGCTTGTCCTCCCAGAATTTTTCCACTGAGACTGTGCCGAGCTGCTGTTGTTTTGGACAAGATTTTGCGGAAAAACAGATAAAGCACCAGGGAACTTTGCAGCCATAGATGATGAAGGTTGTAGGTGGTCAGGATAAACACTTCCATTGCTTGTAGCTGTTGTTTTGCTTCGAGCCGCCGCTGCAAATTGCTGCTGCTTCTGAAGTTGAATCAGTTGCTGCTGCTGCTGCTGCTGCTGACTCCGCTGCAGTTGCTGCTGTGCAGAAGAAGCATTGACATTGCTGATAGAAGAAGGCATAACAGAAACAGAAGTACGGGCAGGTGCAGAACCATGGTTTAGACTTCGTGTTGAGCCATCAATGACTGTGTTTCCCGTCATAGAGACTGGTGCATCACTTAAATCTGGCCTAGAGAAAGCAATGGACTGCACAACAGTTGCCGGTGGCTTTCCTGCCATTGCCTTTCTTTCTTCCTCCACATTAGAAGTGTCGCTACCTCCAGCTTTCGCTTCTTCCGAAACACGGTAATTCTTTTTCTGCTGTGCTGCCTGGGCAGCAGCTATAAACTGATAGCCCTGCCTCATTGCCTCGGGTAGGTTCTGAAGAATAGCAGGATTCTGTGCAATGGTAGAAAGGTCTAGGCCAGGAGCTGTAGGTCCATTAATAGAAGCAAATGTCATTGCAAAAGTTTGAGGCGTCATAGTTTCAACTCCAGCCTTGGAACCCTGTTGTTGTAGCTGTTGCTGTGGCTTCTTTTCACCATGATTACCAGTCACACTAGTGGCACCTCCCATTGAAGCAGGAGTCATCAGAGCGAAGTTTGGTGAGTGTAAAGGCATTGCAAAATTCTGTCCATAGATACTCATATTTCCACGGGAGATTCGGCTATCAGCTGTTGACGGGCTCTCTTCACCAGTGATTTCATTCTCAAGCTGGCGAGCTTGATGAGGAACCTGTTGGTTTTGTTGTTGCTGCCGCTGCTGCAGTTGCAGTTGTTGAGGCTGGTTCTTTGGAGCAGGAAAACTTTGCAAGGTTCCATTGCCTCCACTTATGCCACTGTTATGTGGCCTTGGGTGCTGACTCTTTAAATGTTTTTGGGATGAAGATGAACCACTGGAAATGCTGGCGTTTTGATGACCTTGTTGGCTTTGGTGTGACTGAGCAGGTAGTGATTGTTGCTGCTGTTGCTGCTGCTGAAGCTGTGAATGATGTAGCATTTGAGAAGGATAAAAGGACCCATTAAAGAATGGCATACTCTGAGCTGGAGTTCCTCTGTAAGCAGGTGTTCCTCCCATATGAGCAGACATAGGAAATGGGTAAGCATTGTTCTGCAAAATTGCTAAGTACGGAGTTTGTGTCTCGCTGCTGCCCGGTATATTTTGGTAGTTGAAGCCCATTGCCGTGGCTGCAGCTCCTGCTGTTGTAGTGACACTCATTGAGGCAGAATTAGACCCACTTGATGAAGCGGCATTACCAGCAGCTGGAGGAGACTTGACAGACCCAGGCCGGACAGCAGCTGCGGCAGCAGCCTGTTGCTGGCTCAATGGGAAGATAAAAGTAGGAGCCTGATGAAATTGAAAATACCAAATGGCACCCATTTTAAAAATAATAATACTAAATAAACTCCAAAAAAAGAAAAAAAGTTTCAACAACTGGATAATACAGCTCCAAGAGAAGATTTGTACCAGCATATTACTAGGAGCTCCTGGTGGTAGAGCTTGCTGAAGCAAAACCTGCTTTCTTTGTGCTGCATCCATTAAGTTGGCATGCTGAGAACCTTTGTTGTCTTTCCCAGTCGGACCAGGAAAAATTGCCAGACCCTGCCCCTTATCTTGTGCATTGTTCACACCTTTTCCTGGAACGGTTCCATGCAATTCTGTCGGTGGCCCAACATTGAGATTGCAAGCCTTCGCCCCGTAGAGTGAAGCAGAACTGGCAGCCGCTGGCCAGAAAGGATTCATCCTTGTAAATTGCTGGAGGTAGTGTATGCTCCTAGCAATGTAGCAATGAGTTGCACACCTCTTTGGTCTGGGTTGAGAAAACAACAAATTTGGAGGCTGCAAAGAAGTAAAAATATTTATAAGAAAAAGGGCTCCAGCCGCTTAGAAAAAGTTCAAAAACAAAAAAGAAACCATTTTAACATACTTGTACGGCAGCAGAAGAGACAGCACTACCATCCATGGATACAACTCCTTGTAAAGGAGCGGCCATATATCTGCCCATAGAAATAGTCATTTCCACAGAGAAGAAAATACAAAAAAACTGAATTTAGATGAAAGAGAGTAGCAGACCGTACCCCATAGGAGGAAGTCCACCAGGCCAACTAGCCATAGGCAGTGGCAAAGGTAAAGAAGTGGATGGAGCTGGAAATATAAAAATCAAAATTAATAAACCAACAAAGAAAATTCAAGTGTAAGAAAAGTCCTCCAAGAAACTCATAGAAGAAACAGACAGAAAAGATAAATTTTACCGTTTTTCTCAGGGACTAACGGCGGTGGTTGCTGCTGCTGCTTTTGAACATGCTGTTGCAGCTTGTTGCCACTTACACTAGCAGTACCACTATCTCTATCACTCTTCTCCAAATCAAGCTGGAGATCAATGATTCTCTCCTTACCAACAACTGGCTTCTGGGATTCACTTTCTTCCGCTATTGTCTTTGCCTTCTTTTGTTCATCTTCAACAACCACATCTTTGGCAATTTTGACTACCTTCTCATCCTCCTTAACCATAGGCTTCATTTCCTGCAACAGGTACAAACCATATTAATTTCTCACAGAAACTTCAGCTAATAAGAGAGCCAGTAAGTGGGCCACTCACCGTTTGAACATCAACAGCCACAAAGTCAATCTCACCGTCCCTTTCAGGTGATGATCTCAATGGAGGAGGAGCCTGCAAGAAAAAAAAAAATTAAAATCCCGTATACCCCATATAAAATAGGTCAAAAAGGNTTCTTTGGAGCAGGAAAACTTTGCAAGGTTCCATTGCCTCCACTTATGCCACTGTTATGTGGCCTTGGGTGCTGACTCTTTAAATGTTTTTGGGATGAAGATGAACCACTGGAAATGCTGGCGTTTTGATGACCTTGTTGGCTTTGGTGTGACTGAGCAGGTAGTGATTGTTGCTGCTGTTGCTGCTGCTGAAGCTGTGAATGATGTAGCATTTGAGAAGGATAAAAGGACCCATTAAAGAATGGCATACTCTGAGCAGGAGTTCCTCTGTAAGCAGGTGTTCCTCCCATATGAGCAGACATAGGAAATGGGTAAGCATTGTTCTGCAAAATTGCTAAGTACGGAGTTTGTGTCTCGCTGCTGCCCGGTATATTTTGGTAGTTGAAGCCCATTGCCGTGGCTGCAGCTCCTGCTGTTGTAGTGACACTCATTGAGGCAGAATTAGACCCACTTGATGAAGCGGCATTACCAGCAGCTGGAGGAGACTTGACAGACCCAGGCCGGACAGCAGCTGCGGCAGCAGCCTGTTGCTGGCTCAATGGGAAGATAAAAGTAGGAGCCTGATGAAATTGAAAATACCAAATGGCACCCATTTTAAAAATAATAATACTAAATAAACTCCAAAAAAAGAAAAAAAGTTTCAACAACTGGATAATACAGCTCCAAGAGAAGATTTGTACCAGCATATTACTAGGAGCTCCTGGTGGTAGAGCTTGCTGAAGCAAAACCTGCTTTCTTTGTGCTGCATCCATTAAGTTGGCATGCTGAGAACCTTTGTTGTCTTTCCCAGTCGGACCAGGAAAAATTGCCAGACCCTGCCCCTTATCTTGTGCATTGTTCACACCTTTTCCTGGAACGGTTCCATGCAATTCTGTCGGTGGCCCAACATTGAGATTGCAAGCCTTCGCCCCGTAGAGTGAAGCAGAACTGGCAGCCGCTGGCCAGAAAGGATTCATCCTTGTAAATTGCTGGAGGTAGTGTATGCTCCTAGCAATGTAGCAATGAGTTGCACACCTCTTTGGTCTGGGTTGAGAAAACAACAAATTTGGAGGCTGCAAAGAAGTAAAAATATTTATAAGAAAAAGGGCTCCAGCCGCTTAGAAAAAGTTCAAAAACAAAAAAGAAACCATCTTGACATACTTGTACGGCAGCAGAAGAGACAGCACTACCATCCATGGATACAACTCCTTGTAAAGGAGCGGCCATATATCTGCCCATAGAAATAGTCATTTCCACAGAGAAGAAAATACAAAAAAACTGAATTTAGATGAAAGAGAGTAGCAGACCGTACCCCATAGGAGGAAGTCCACCAGGCCAACTAGCCATAGGCAGTGGCAAAGGTAAAGAAGTGGATGGAGCTGGAAATATAAAAATCAAAATTAATAAACCAACAAAGAAAATTCAAGTGTAAGAAAAGTCCTCCAATAAACTCAAAGAAGAAACAGACAGAAAAGATAAATTTTACCCTTTTTCTCAGGGACTAACGGCGGTGGTTGCTGCTGCTGCTTTTGAACATGCTGTTGCAGCTTGTTGCCACTTACACTAGCAGTACCACTATCTCTATCACTCTTCTCCAAATCAAGCTGGAGATCAATGATTCTCTCCTTACCAACAACTGGCTTCTGGGATTCACTTTCTTCCGCTATTGCCTTTGCCTTCTTTTGTTCATCTTCAACAACCACATCTTTGGCAATTTTGACTACCTTCTCATCCTCCTTTACCATAGGCTTCATTTCCTGCAACAGGTACAAACCATATTAATTTCTCACAGAAACTTAAGCTAATAAGAGAGTCAGTAAGTGGGCCACTCACCGTTTGAACATCAACAGCCACAAAGTCAATCTCACCGTCCCTTTCAGGTGATGATCTCAATGGAGGAGGAGCCTGCAAGAAAAAAAAAAATTAAAATCCCGTATACCCCATATAAAATAGGTCAAAAAGGGAAAAAAAAAAAAAAATATGATCTTGTCTTCAAAAAGAAGATCCTCACCATCAGATCTATCTGGAATTTTTCTTCTCGCTGTTTCTCAATCTCAGATGTCGTTGAGTTCCTGAAAAAATAAAACCCCTCAAATCCATCCAAAAAAATACTTGAGAACATAAAATAGAGAAGAAACAAATATTGTTTTTAACTCACGCTTTAGTAACTGTCAAATTGTCCCGACGATCACAATCTAATCTGAGACTAACAGTAGATTCCTTCTTCGGAGACAGAGGCTGACGCTGAGGCCCGTCTTTTGCCACAGCCACATCTCCTCCACTCTCTGATTCTTCAGTCAAACCCTTTGAATCCGGTAATAAAACGTTGCTCTCTGGCTTAACCGACTCAATCTTCGGCTCAGACGCCTGAGAGTTCACCAAATCGTACGAAATTGAACCATTCTCAGCTACTGCAGATCCCGAATTCTTGTCCAAATTCGGCGAACAAGTTTCGGTCTTGGCAGATTGATCCATCTCAGCCTTTGTGGTAGACGAAATGGGAACATTACGCACTGCAAACGACGAAGGATTCTCATCTTCGTATTTGACAGGTCGCGGTCTCTTCCTCTTCGGAGCTGCAAATTCAACACAAACCCAAAATTTCATCGCCGTGTCAACTTCAAAAAAAAAATTAAAAAAACCCTTTCTGAGCTAGAAAAACTCAAACTCACCAATAGCAGACATGGGAGCAGTCGAAGAGCTAGAATTTGTGGGCAAAATTGAAGAAGACTGAGGGAGTGTAGATGGAGAATTCGAGATCGGAGAAGAAACACGGGATTTAGAGTCACTTGTGGACTTATTATTATTAATCTCTTTCGAATTCGAATCCACACCCATAATTTCTTGCTTAGATGGACCCTGTGGCTGCCTCATCATCCCGTACAAAACTTCCGCGATCTCGATCTCAATCTCGTCCTGCGCCGATGATGATGACTTGTTGCTCGACGATTTTGGGGGCCTTAGTTTGGGTCCGCTAGGTTTCTGCAACGAATAAGCCAAATAACCATTAGCCAGATTCATTGTATATCATTTTCTTCAAGAACAAGAACAGAAGGAAGGCATCTGTGAAATAACCGACCATCTTCTTCCGAACTGAAAAATTGGAGGAAGAAGGCGAAGCCGGTGCGGGGGTAGCCAGCACAGTCGTAACACTTGTTCTCACAGGTGAAGATGAAGCTTGTCTATGTATTTGTTCTCCACCACCAACAACACCTCCACTTGAAGTCCAACATTCATGGGACCTTTTAGTAGAGGCTGCAGAGACAGAGAACAATATAAATAAAATTTACAAATCACAAATCCGACCAACCGGAAACAAAAATGAAATGTAAAAATCAGCAACCAAATCTAGAAGAATAATCTCTTCCACCTCTCTACCTGACCGAGCTTTTCTAGGCACCGACACACCAATCATCTCATCAGCGGCTTTCCAAGTAGACGGGGTGGTCGAGGCTGTCGTAGCCGTCGGCGCGGTTCTAAAAACTTTCGCCGGCGGTGGAAAACTTTTCCGACTGTTGTGATTATTGTTATTATGATTATGATTATTATTACTGTGGCTATTACTATTATGATTGTGATGATGATGGTGGTGATGATGATTCAACATCGACGATGATGATGTTGATGGATTGGGTGGGAGCATCCTCATAGAAGAATTTCCACCTCCACCTCCACCTCCATCGTCATCATCGTCTTCTTCATCATCATTTACACTCTCCTCTGAGCTGTCATCCCCTCCGTCATCTCTATTCGTTCCGAGCATAAATTTATCGCTTCTCCTTCTTTTGCTACTCCTACTCATTCGATCTCTCTCTCTATCACGTTCTCTGTCACGGTCGCGGTCACGATCACGGTCTTTCTTTCGATCTCTTAACCTCGCCGTTTCCTGTAACTCCAACGGACCGTCTTCTTCTGCATAAAACACATAAATTCAATCATAAAGGAAACACATCAGAATCAATAAAACAAAAAGGTTTCTGTTTGAAAATAGTTAGATCTGGTGAGAATTGAGACCTGGAGAGTCTCTGAGACTGCTACTCCTGTGTCTCCTTCTTGACAAACCATTTGAAGCCGCCAAAGTAACACCTCTTCTGGCTTCTCTGCTTCTTTCCATTTGTGTTTGGATTGGTTTTTTAGTGACAAATCAGATACGTCTTCAATACTAATCTTACCTCTCATCACCGGAAAAGTATCATAATTTACCGGAAATGGAGTTACAGTCACCAGAATTTGAATGTTTCGAGCTATCTCCGGCTAAATAACTGATTCAATATTCACAGATCTTTCCATACACAGAGGTTTACCAGTCTGAAAGATCTCAGCTTTCGCTTATCCTCTCTCTCTCTGCTCCTTTCCGCCTCTCTCTCTCTCTCTCTCTCTTTGTCCTCTTTTTGGCTCTCATCTCATCCTCTTTTCAGCTATTTCACTCCACTCACAAGCCTGCTCAACGGCCACGATTAATGGCTTTATCACATGCTTTCATCCTAACCGTTTATCTCTGGAAATCTATCGGTGGATACTTGCGAAAACCGACATGGCAAAATGGGGAGCGTTGATCGGGTGTTATTAGTAGGTTATTTAATCTTTTTCTGGACATTATCGCCACGTGTCAGGCTCTTTCTTCCCCCTCAAGCTTCCAAGTTTACTCACTAGTACCGATTTGGTATAAAATAGTTTTTAGCAATAAATTAATGAATTAAAATATTATGATTGTACTGTACTCTCCTGAATAGGAGTGAGAATACTGTTGCCCACGAATCACGATCAAGTTGAAGTTGAAGCCTTGAATTTCCCAAAGAGATGTCGTGACTGGCTTTAGCCGGTTTACCGGTTGCCAGAGACCTTGGTAAAAGCAACATGACGATCAAAAGGAATCTACATGACCGCAGGAATTATCGTTCCAACCGGTCAAATTAATTATTTCGGTTCCCACGTTTTTATTTTCTTTTTTAATTATTAGATATGAGACTGTGAGAGAGAATTAAACAATATATTTTCCAAATGGACTCACCCTGTCCCACATGAAAACAACCTATTTGGAAAATCAATGGATATGATCTCTATTTACAAGCAAAAGAACAGACACCAACCGTTAGATTTTATCTGACGTGGCGAATTCAGATTCCAAGACACAAACAAGTCCGAGTTGGCACCGAACTAAGAGGCCCGTGCATGTCGATCAGCGCGCCTAATCTAGACCGTGAGATGCATCCAATCAACGGCAATTATTTACGGAGCAGCGGGTGAAAAGAGCTGAGAGTCACGGTCACGGAACTTCCGAGAACTGTGGACCCCACGTTGGCTGCCGGTGTAGAAATTATTTCCTCGCGTTGGCCAGCCCTATTGTCACGTTCGGTGAGATGAATAGCTTTTGGTGACGTGTACCGGTCCCACAGGTAAATTAAAAAACTATATTTTAGAAACGGAACGAACCTACTCGCCCGGTCAAATTTCACCGCTCAGTTAAAACTTAAAAAGGAAATTTAGAAGGTACAAAATAAATAAATATTAAAATAAAAAACTGTAACTTATAAAATAGTTCCCGCTTTTTACTTCACGCGCTTATTTCAGAGTTCACATTACGTACGGAGTCCAGCGTGGCAATGTTATTTTCGTTTCGTGGCAGTAAAATATGACTCCACGTGTCGCAAAACTTGCTCATTGTCGCCCCGGATCTTGTTATAAGGTAAATATCTTTTTGTTAAGAAGGGAAATGATAGCTTAGCAAGGCTGTGTTGACAATGTCCTGACGTGGCAGTTAAAAGAATTTTTAAATCTCATTAATTGAGATATTTATTGTCCAGACTTGCAACATGAGTGGTTTGAAATTTGAACTCTCATATAACAATGCTGTCACTCTATTATATCCAAGCCAAAAAAAACTAATTTTTTTTAGACCAAGGTGGCCACGTCAGATTTAGGCCCCACAGTAAATGGTTGACCCACCATAATGGATCCCTTTCTCTTCGCTTTTGTCGCTTTATGAGTTCTTCATTCCCTCGCTATCGTGAAATCCCATATCGCTGCCACGTGTATATTTTTAATGCTACGAAATCATGCCAACGTGGCTGCCTTTATGACCGTATACATAACCCTAGCCGTCACCAACACTACTTTGCTAATGCTGAGACTAAGCACCCATTAATTATTGATTAATAATTAATCAAAAATATTTTACTTAATAGTGTTCTTCCAAGTTGTAAATAACAAAGAAATACACCATTATGATAATGTTTCAAGATATATTCTAAATTTTTATACAAAACATTTAGTCATATTTTTGTTTCTAATGTGTGTAGGGTCGGATTAAAATGAATCTAATGTCTCTTCTCTAAATGGATAAAATAATTAATTTGATTAGTATGAATAAGTTATGGTAAGATTAACATATCCAAACAAGAGCATCAATTTTATATGTAATTTAATATGTAAGCTGGAAATGTATTGATATGGTATGGTCACTAGTGACATTTATAGTGGGGCATCCAATTAATTGACGAGAGATTATACAAAAAGGGAAAAGAAAGAGAATTCAATGTATTATGAATAAATTATATTTACAAATACTTTAACTAGGGTATCTAATCTAGCTTAATTTATACAAATAAAGAAAGAAGGAAAGAAAGAAATAGTGGACATCTAATCGTGGCATCTGTCTACTACTACCTTCTCGTTAGACTCACCACCCATTCAATTAATTAATGAATAAGAAAGTACAACTGTTTTATTATAATATCAAATATAAAGCATGTACAGTCAAGAAACCTTATTATATACATTTTCCTATATAAAAACCCTGCTTGATTTGGGCTTGTTTGTCTAATATAAAATTCTAAAACCGAATATTATTGTAATGTTCAATAATTTATTATTTACTACCCTTTCAATGTTAATATCAAATAACCGGGTAGGTTAAATGCTTAAACGAAATCTAAGAAATGCCCATAACAGACAAGTTTCTGGCGAATTTAATGATTTAAAATATGAAATGTAATAATTCTAAAATTTATTTATTTTACCAATATATTTATAATTTATTTCACTTCAATTTTTTATTTAATAAAAAAAAGGGGCCGTGAAAAGTCCACAAAGTGGGACAAAGCGTGTGTTATCATACAGTGACTTTTACACCACTTTGCATTACTTTACATTTATTTGTTTTTTCTTTGAAACAAAGTTTCACCCTTCTCTGTTTATGATGTTACCGATGTATCCGAGATTTGAACCATATCATATAAAATTAAATAATAAAACAAATGTAAATTTAATGAATAATAACGTAAATAATTAGTATTGTCGTTTATTATCGAATCATTGGTTGGAATTGAATAGTTTTTCATTTGTTATTACGCCAAACAAATATTCGAGAGAGTCCCAAAAATTTTAAACTATAGGCGGGGATTTTGATTATTATTAAATTATAAAATTTGGATTAATTGGACCTAACCTTACCATGATTAATAATAAATTATTGATTAAATTATAAACTAATTGCAGTAGTGGCACACGACAAGTTTTCTCATGCTCCGTTCATAAAAGTAGAGAGACTAGAAACACCAATTATATCCTATTATTTAAATCACAGGGACAAGATCCTATGTCATGGACAAAAAGGATTAAAGTATTTACTATTTTAGGAGAGGAATTGAATTGCCACGTGTGAATGCCACGTGGAGTAACCCCACACGTGTGACTCTAGGGAAAGTATAGGGATACTTATCCTGTCACTTTTTAGTTGATGTACAGTATGGAGATTCTTGGTGCTGTTGCTTTACAGTGTGGAAAGTTTTTATTGGCCGGTTAATTTTTATCCGTATTTTCTCTTGATAACTGTTCGTCTCTTTGTGATGAAAAATAGTTTAGAGCAACCTAACCAATAATAATTTACAGTAATTAAGTCACTAAATCCGAATGCTTTACAGTAATTATAATTCTTTATCTTTCTTAGATTTATTAAATTAATTTACTGTCCACACAGAATTAGTAATTCAATATTTAAAAAAAAAAAAAAAATCAACCCTGAATGGTCAAATGGTTTAATAGAGATAAATATATTATTTAAGAAGCTCTGAACTCAAGCGTTAATAGGGTAACCACTAAAGTTCTTATCCGACTAATAATTTCAAAGTCTTTGAAGATTAGTTGAGGTGCGTCTAAATTGACTGGACACTCCCTATCATCAAAAAAAATTTTAAAAAATAAATGTAGATCTTCACACCAAGAAATTGTTGATTATATGTTATTAAGCTAAGTGGGTATTTGTACCAACAAAATATAATTACAAATAGGCACATAAAGTGCAAAAGTTTAATGCTTTCATATTGACTGATTAGACTTTGATTTAGGATTGACATATGTATATATTATATATCATTATTCATGAAATAGAAAATAAGATAAGACAGTCCTCAATCATTTGAAGTAAAAAAATAAAAATTGTGTGGCATTACACATTATTCATATGAATATTGGAGGACAAAAAAATGAGGAGGAGATATAAATAGAGCATAACAAAGATAGCAAAATTTTAGGTTATATTATAAACTGTATGATAGGGTAAGACTATATGGGCCAAACATTGAAGATTAGGAAATGAGCCTGAACCTGAAGGAGTGAAGAGCCAGCCCATTCTAGTTCCAGAACTGAGATTAGTAAGGCTTTAATTATTTCTTTACATTCCTAAGTCCTAAATCCTAACTACTTGTATAGTTGTATTATAAAAAAAGGACTGGGATCTTTTAACTTAGAATTTTCACTTTAATTGAGATACAAGTTTTCTGATTCAATGATGTATAAATTTTATTAAAATTTCTAAATAATTTTTTATTTTCATAAAATTTTAATTTTCAATGTATATTTTGTATTTTGCACTAATTTATTAATTCTACAAGTAGAATTATTGATTTTGAATTAAAATTATTATAATTTTATATATCCTTATAACATATTTTTTTAACGGGGGTGGCCATGCCAGTTTATGCGTACATCAACTAATTTCTCAGAGCCCTAAAACTACCGATCGAATAAGAGCTCCAGTAACTACCTTTATTAACAACGAGGAAGAATATTCTTATAACATTGTTTAATATGAGCATAACCACACCTTTAAAAAAGCATAAAAAAATATTCCATATTCCATATCATTATTAAAAACCTCCTTAGTATTATAAAAATATATGAAGTAAAAGTCTACTTATCTAAATTTATATGTCACTAGGCCAATTATTTTTGGTCGACTCTTTCATTTGAATTTCAGATTAATTGACTTTTTTA